GGAGGTAAGAGCCAGTGGCTGGCTACTTTGTTTTTCGGATCTTCAGGTTGAACCCCGATTTCTTTCTCTGAGTTTTTATTACTTGTGCTTTATTGCACACACGTAAATATACATGCATATATATATATATATATATATATATATATATATATATTTTGGTTTTATCGAGACAGGTTTTCTCTGTGGCTTTGGAGCCTGTCCTGGAACTCGCTCTGTAGTCCAGCCTGGCCTCGAACTCACAGAGGTCCGCCTGCCTCTGCCTCCCGAGTGCTGGGATTATTTATTTATTTATTTATTTTGGTTTTTCGAGACAGGGTTTCTCTGTGGTTTTGGAGCCTGTCCTGGAACTAGCTCTTGTAGACCAGGCTGGTCTCGAACTCACAGAGATCCGCCTGCCTCTGCCTCCCGAGTGCTGGGATTAAAGGCGTGCGCCACGCCACCACCGCCTGGCAAAACACATCTTTAATCTTAGTACTCACACTTGTTGCCATGGACACTGGACGTTGCATGCCTTTAATCATGGTGGTGAACGCCTTTTATCGCAACTCTAGAGAGGATTATAAAACAGGAGGAAACAGCCCTCAACACACAATCTCATCCTAAGATTCCTGGAGGCAGGATCGACATTTTGGACTGAGGTGGAGGTAAGAGCCAGTGGCTGGCTACTTTGTTTTTCGGATCTTCAGGTTGAACCCCGATTTCTTTCTCTGAGTTTTTATTACTTGTGCTTCATTGCACACACGTAAATATATATATATATATATTTATATATATAAATATATATATATAAATATATATATATATTTATATATATATTGGTTTTATCGAGACAGGTTTTCTCTGTGGCTTTGGAGCCTGTCCTGGAACTAGCTCTGTAGACTGGTCTCGAACTCACAGAGATCCACCTGCCTCTGCCTCCCAACTGCTGGGATTAAAGGAGTGAGCCACCACCGCCCGGCTATATTTAAAGGCTGGGTTTTGTTTCATTTTCTTTATTTTTGACGCAGGTCTGGCTGACCTGGAAGTTGCTATGTAGACCAAGCCTCTGCCCCCCTGAGTGGTGAGTTTGGTATAAACATGCACATATACATATGCATATGGAATGTGCAGGTTTATAGGTTTTATAATGCAGCTCTTATTTCAGTTTGCCAGTATAGGCACGTTATGCCTAACAGTTGATGGGGTTGTGAGAATTTGGACTCGGAGTTTTGTTTGTTTATTTGTTTGTTTTGTGTTTTGAGTTTCTCTGTGTAGCTCTGGCTATTCTGTTTTTTTTTCTTTTTAATTTATTTATTTATTAAAGATTTCTGCCTCCTCCCCGCTACCGCCTCCCATTTCCCTCTCCCTTCCCTGATCAAGTCCCCCTGCCTCATCAGCCCAAAGAGCAATCAGGGTTCCCTGACCTGTGGGAAGTGCAAGGACCACCCACCTCCATCCAGGTCTAGTAAGGTGAGCATCCAAACTGCCTAGGCTCTCGCAAAGCCAGTACGTGCAGTAGGATCAAAAACCCATTTAATTCCAGCACTTGGGAGGCAGAGGCAGGCAGATCTCTGTGAGTTCAAGACCAGCCTGGTCTACAAGAGCTAGTTCCAGGACAGACTCCAAAACCACAGAGAAACCCTGTCTCGAAAAACCAAACAAACAAACAAAAACAAACAAACAAAAAACCCATTGCCATTGTTCTTGAGTTCTCAGTAGTCCTCAGCTCTGGCTATTCTGAAACTCACTATGTAGACTGGGCAGGCCTCTGCCTCCTAAGTACTGGGATTAAAGCGTGGTGTGCCTACACCACCCAATTTAGGCTCGGATTTTGTTAGTAAATTGATGTTTCTCTTTCTGAGTGAAGACCAGATCCAAGACAGAGAGATTTTCATTAGTGTGCAGAATACACGGCTGAGAATATAGCTCTGGCAGAATTTAGCACATGAAACCCAGTTCTTTTCATTTTTTTCAAAGATTTATTTATTTTGTTTACAGTGTATGTATAATACACTTCATTTTTTAAAGATGTATTTATTTGTTATGTATACAGTGTTCTGCCTACATGCATGCCTCCAGGCCAGAAGAGGGCACCAAATCTCATTACAGATGGTTGTGAGATGGCATGAGGTTTCTAGGAATTGAACTCAGAACCTTTGGAAAATCAGGCAGTGCCATCTGAGCCATCTCTCCAGCCTCCAGTCCCTAGTTTTTAAAGAAAAGATACAAAGTACAAAGTTGGGTTTGTCGATACAGGCCTTAACCCTAACACTTGGGAGTTCGAGGAAAAGGAATCAGAAATCCAAGGACATCTTTGACTGCATAGTTCCAGGCCAGCCTGAAAGGCAGGAGATCCTGTGTCAAAAGAATTCAACACCCCACCCCAAAAAAGAAGAAAAAAAAAAAAACACAGGGTACAGTTAGGGAGAAGGGAGGTGAGTGATGAGGGTTGATGAGGACTAGGTCTATAGTAATCCAAGAAGAGGGTTTGTTTTTTTTTCTGTAACCAAATAATATTAAGATATATTTTATGGGGGGTTGGAGAAATGGCTCAGTGGTTAAGAACATTGGCTGCTCTTCCAGAGTACCCAGGTTCTGTTCCCAGCCCCCACATGGCAGCTCACAACTATTAGTAACACCAGTTCCAGGGATCTTCACACAGGTATACATTCAGGCAAAAACACCAATCAATGCATATAAAAATAAAAAAATTAAATTATTTTTAAAAAAGATGTATTTTATGGATAAATTAAACAAAGATTCCAGAACTGAAATTTCATTCAATTTTGTTTGTTTTGAAGCAAGGTCTCATGTAGCCCAGGATGGCCTCAGACTTCCTGTGCAATGGATGACAGTCATGAGAAAGAAAAGTGTTAAGTTTTCACTTTGTTTAGTGTGTGCGCACTTGTGTGTGCACCTTCCCGCCACAGTACATGTGCGTCAGTCAGAGGACAGCTAAAAGGAATTGCTTCTCCCTCCACATGGTTCCTAGAGATTAAACTCTGGTCATCAGCCTTTGCAGCAGGAGTGTCTCACCAGTTCTCCTGCCTCACCTCCTAGTGATGGAGTCACAGGGGAGCACCACTACATCTAGTTATTTGGTGCCTGTGGCAAACCTAGAGCTTTGTGCATGCTAGTCATGCATGCTGCCATCTGCTAGATCCCCAGCCCTAGAAAAGAAAATCTTTTTTTTTTTTGTTGTTTTTTTGTTTTTTGTTTTTTTTTGAGACAGGGTTTCTCTGTAGCTTTGGAACCTGTCTTGGAACTAGTTCGTGTAGACCAGGCTGGCCTTGAACTCACAGACGTCTGCCAGCCTCTGCCTTCCAAGTGCTGGGATTAAAGGCGTGAGTCACCACTGCCCGGCTAGAAAAATCTTAATACACACCCCTGGCACTCCCTTTGTAGATTAGGATGGCATTGAATTTACAGACACCTGCCTGCCTCTGCCTCTGAAGCGCCGTGATTAAGGGCATGAGCCACCACACCTAGCATATATATATATATATATATATATATATATATATATATATTCTTGAGACAGGGTCTGGGGCAGCCCAGGACTACCTGTATAATCAAATCACTGGGGATTATCTGGGCCACCATAGTAAAAAAAAAAAATTTTGAAATATTTTTTTTTTGTTTTTGTTTTTCGAGAAAGGGTTTTTCTGTGTAATACCCCTGACTGTCCTGGTACTCTTTGTAGATCAGGCTGGCCTTGAATTCATAGTGATCCTGCCTCTGTCTCCTAAGTGCTGTGATTCAGAGTGAGTGTCACCATGCTTGGTGGTTGAAATAATTTTTTAAAAATTTGTTATATTTATTTATTTATGTATACAATGTTGTGTCTGCATGTATTCCTGCAGGCTAAAAGAGGACGGTTGTGAGCCACCATGTGGTTGCTGAGAATTGAACTCAAGACCTCTGGAAGAGCAGCCAGTGCTCTCAACCACTGAGCCATCTCTCCAGCCCTTGAAATAATTTTTAACTTCTTTTATTTTATTTTATTTTATTTATTTATTTATTTTTTTGTTTTTCGAGACAGGGTTTCTCTGTGGTTTTGGAGCCTGTCCTGGAACTAGCTCTTGTAGACCAGGCTGGTCTCGAACTCACAAAGATCCACCTGCCTCTGCCTCCTGAATGCTGGGATTAAAGGCGTGCGCCACCACCGCCCGGCTCTTAACTTCTTTTTAGATTTATTTTTTTTCTTTCTTTTTTTTTTATTGAGAAAAGGAGAAAAAAAAAAAAACAAGTTTCCACCTCCTCCCAGCCTCCCATTTCCCTCCCCCTCCTCCCACCCTACGCCCCCTCTTCCCACCCTTCTCCCCCTCCCCCCACTCCTAGATTTATTTTATTTTTGTTAATGTCTGTGTGAGAAGGCATGTGCACAGGAGTGCAGGAGCCCTGGGAGTCAGAGGAAGGCCTCAGATCTTCAGTGCCTGGAGTTATAGGTGGTTGTGAGCTTCCCAATGTCCTCTGGAAGAGCAATAAGAGCGCTCTTTTTCTTTTAAATTATTTTTTATAGTTCATTTAACTTTTTATTATTTTATGTGCATTGGTGTGAGGGTGTCAGATCCCCTGGAACTGAATCTTCAGACAGTTGTGAGCTGCCATGTGGGTGCACTGGGCCTTCTCTCCTGCCCCAAGGCCTAATATTTTCAATAGTTTTTTAAAAAAAAAAAGGATCAAGCTTTTGTCGCAGAGTCCCTAATCAAAGTTACAATATTGGTCCGTTTAATCCAAGACAGTTCTGCAATGTAGGCACTGTTCCGCTCCTTTCACAATGCTCAAAAAACTAAGGCAGTCTGCACAAAGCCCTGCAAAGAACCTTAAACACTAGCTTCAGGGCTGGCTAGGGAGCAAACGCCACCAGCACCAGAGATTAAAAGACCCCCTTCATCACAACAACCTGCAGCGTCCGAGGTTTCCCCTACCCCCCCCCCACCTCAGCGCGCCTGCGTCTCCCACCGTGACGTCGGCGGCGCCCCGCCCCCTCCTGGAACGCGGAGTCGCCGAGCGGGCGGGCGGCCATTTTGTGAGGCGGCATCGGAGGTGCTTGGCTGCAGTGGGCTCCGGGAAGCCGTTCGGGCTGGGGCTATCGGCCGCGGGGCTGAGGCACTCGCACGGGGGGTAACTCGGGTCTGGGTTCTGGTGCCGCGCAAGCTCTCCCCGGTAAGACTCCCGCAGCCCCGGAACGGGCGGGGCTGTGCGGGGCTCGAGCCGCCTCCTTGGTGCCCCGGGGCGGGGCCTTCCCAGGCCTCGGAGCCCGCGGCCGCGAGCGCCCTACACAAAGGGGTCTCTCCGAGGCTGCGGGGGTCCTGGGGTGCCGCTCACACTCTGTGGCCTCCGAGGATGCGAGAGGTGGAGCCGGCGTGCCGAAGTGGGGACGAGGCGGTAGCGGGGACGCCCCGGTGGTCTTGAGGGCAATCGGCCAGCCCTGGGTGGCCCCGTGGCCTGCGACCCGGGCGAGGGGGGGGGGTTGCGATGATAACGCCTGCAGGCAGGATGGGGAAGGTTTCCTGGGCTTCAGACGGGGCCGAGGTTTCTCCCACCTCTGCCCCGAAGTAAAGAGTTTTCAGTGGCCTAAGGTCAGCAAAAGGGAACTACGTTAGGGTCACCTAAGGGGGAAGCTCTCCTGGAAGGCCGGGAACCGGTCACTTTCAGGACTTGAAGGTGCAGGGGCTTGCAGCGAAGTGCTTCCTACGTCCAGCGCTGAGGAGGGGCCTCCTAGGGAGTGTAGGGGATTCTGGAGCCTCTCTGTAGCTAAGGAGGAGGTGGGGAAGCCATGAGAGTTGTAGCAAGCATGGCAGGTCCTTGGTCCCTAAATAGGGAAGGGGCTGTTACCTGCTGCACCTTCCCTGCACCTTTGGGGAGGAGCCACAGGGAGGAGGGAGGGTGGCTGCCGTAGCTGTCTGAAGGTTGGTGGCGCTAGTTTGCAGCCGCGTCAAGTAGGTGGGGAAGGCCTTTAGGAGGTGCAGGTTAGTGATGGGGGAGGGATAGAGTAAGGTAGCGGGTTTGGGTGCCCGTTGGTAAGCGAGTGGGCTCGTGTGTGCATTTTATAGTGAAAAATTTGAAGGACTCCCGTGTGGTCTACTCAGGGTTAATTCGGTGCAAAAGACTCATTCATTCTGGTAGAAAGTGTAGAGAATTCCAGGCTGTGTTGCAGCATTCTGGGTCCTAAAGCCTTCTTGACGCCTAGAGTCGGAGATGGCTGTGTGCAGTTGGCAGGAATCGTCTTATGGTCTTTAAGTTGATGCCAGTCTTCACAACCTGGCGGGAAAAACTAGGATTGGCAACTGAAGGGAGAGATTGAGTGGATTTTCTTCAGGCTTCTTGGATAAGTGTGAAATGTAATTTTTGGTGAACCTCAGTCTTAAAAAATAAAAATTGTTCGAGACCTTGGTAACCAGCGTATACTGCAAGTGTTAAAGAGCATTTGCAGTTGGAAAAATTCTACGAAAATATTTATTAAAATTAATAGAAATATAAAACTGATGTACTTGTTTTTGAAATTTGTAACTTTTGTCGAGATGGAGACTTTTGGATTTGGTGGAAAGTGGTTGTGTCTGGACATCTTTCTAAGGATATTAAAAGTTGGAAGAACTGTTCACATAACTATCTTAATGCAATTTTTGAAGGAAATGTTTGTATTTAGGTGAGTTCACAAGGCTTAGTGTGTATTGGGTAGTTTATCAAAATGTTTTGCATTTTTATATCACCTTATACTTGATTAAATGTTGGTCACTCTGGGTTTGTAATGCATAATTTCAATTTTATGTTCAAATTCGTCAGGTGAATATGTGATGCTTTAGAAACCACTGGTTATTGTTCTAGGCTATTAGCAATACACTCTAGGCTTCTTTTACTCTTTTGTGACATGTTGAATGTTTTGATCGACTGCATATTGAAAGTTTTTGACTTCTTGGTTACTATTTTTAGGTATAAAACTTCATTTTTATACTTGTACATTATACCGTGGGTCAGATACTAGAATCCAGTGCCAGCATTGATACAGTCTTACTCCAGTTTGCAGAAAGCCACGCCACTGTTTGATTTGTGGAAATTTGATTGTTTTTTGTTTGTTCCTCATTGGAGATAGAATCTTGTTAGGTAGCTTAGGCTGACATTGAACTGTTAAGCGTCTGGATTCACTGGGATAGTAGTTGGCTGGCAATATTTAGTTTGAGTAAATGCTTTCTTCTGAAAATGTTGTTAGTAATTGATTACACAATGTATACTTTTTGATATCTCTCCCTAAAAATGCAGTGTCCAGTTTAAAATCTAACTCATAGCATACTTTTAACTTTTAGTTTAATTGTATGGGTGTTTTGCCTACATGTATGTCTTACGTTTCATGTTCATGCCTGCTGAACTCAGGCTATAAGAGCTCGTGTCAGATCCCCTGGAACTGGAGTTATAGATGGTTGCTGGGAATTGAACATAGGTCCTCTGGAAAAGCAGCCTGTTTGGTCTCACCAGGCCTAGTCTACTTATTTATTCTTAATGAATAAAACTCATAAAAATGAATGCTTGCTTAAAGTCTTAGGTTAGAGACTACCCAGAAAAAAGAATTTCACTTGTAGTTCTAGTGGTTTCACTACCAACCACCTGTGTACCCTTTGGTTTGCTGAATTTTAAGTTTAAAGTCACAGTGAAAGTAGATGTAGTTAGTTAGGCTAGAAGCAATATTTTTGTTTTGAAATATAAATGAATTAAAAAGGACATTTTTTGTTGGTATCAATAATAACAATATTAAAATCTCTTTGGTAGGAGGGGCATCTTATTTCAAATGTCTTGATTTACTGCCTCTGAGTACTAGATAGGACGTTCATGTGAAAATTTAGTATTATACATTTTTATCAGTGTCAGAAAATTATATAATAAGAATGGTCTCAGGATCAACAGTGTGTTTTATTTGGTGATGGGGACAAACTCCAGGGGTTGAAGTGTGGTTTCATGGAGTCTATGATAACATTGTGCCCATTGTAATAGAAACTTTGTTGCTGGTCTCTGAGGTGAATAATTCAGGGGTTATTGGGATTTTTCTTTCTTTTGGATCTTAAGTATGTAGCTCTGCTTTACCCTGATTCCTGTGAAGAGTGATGCCTGATGAAGAGTGGAAAAGCTGTAGTTTTAGTGTATTATACCTTTATAAACTTTTAGTTTATATCTTAGTAATGGAAAGGTTTGTTGATGGACATTTTGCCTTGAAGTTTCAAATAATTGGCATAGTTGGTAAATAAAGTTTATTTCGTCAAGCCGGGCAGTGATGGCACATGTCTTTAATCCCAGCCCTTGGGAGGCAGAAGCAGGTGGATATCTGTGAGTTCGAGGCCAGCCCAGTCTACAAGAGCTAGTTCCAGGACAGGTACCAAAGCTACAGAGAAACCTTTCTCTGGGAAAAAAAAAGGTTTATCTTGTCGTAATATGCAAATGCTTATATTTATGTTTGTATCTGGTATCTGCTGTATTGAAGCAACATCTGTTAGGAAATGAAGTGAAAAATACACTAAACAAGCTTGTTTTAGGTCTTTTAAACTATGTCAACGAATCATTGGCAAACTGGGGTCATTTTTCTTTTGGCCTGTCCCTATACTTTATATAAAAATGTGTATATTTATAAGAGTCCCTCTGTGTAGTCCAGACCAACCTCAAACTCTCAGTCTTTTCCATCTCCTAAGTGCTAACATTGCATGTGCACATTGTCTAGCTACGATACCTATTTTTTTTTTTTTTTTATCTTTTTTGAGACAGGGTCACACTGTATGGCCCTGGCTGTCCTCTGGAACAACTTCTATAGACAAGGCTGGCTTCGAACTCTAGACATCTACCTGGCTCTGTCTTCGAGCTTTGGGATCAAAGGCACATACCGCCACATATGGTCTGATACTTTTTTTTGCATAAAAATTAAAATTCATGTGCTTCCAAAGTTTACCAGAGCTTTGGGTGAGTGGGAAAAGTTTTTTTTTTTAGTTTGATCTTGTGTTCAATTAGGCACTAGCTGACATTTTAGCACATAGGAATAAGCAGACTCTTAGAAAACAGTGCTACCTCTGTTGTTTGTGGTCTTTGGGTTGGAGAGATAGTTCAGCAGTATATATATATATATATATATATATATATATATATATATATATTTCCAGAAGACCAGGGTCAATTCCCAGAACTTAAATGGTAGCCCAGAGCCATATGTACCACCAGTTCCAGAGGATATGGCACCCTCTTCTGGCCTCTGCCAGTATTTTGCGCGTGTGATATAGGTATGTCTATACACATAAAATAATAGAAATAGTTTTTTGAACTGATAAATATAACAGGTCTTTACAAAGTGAGTTGAAACAAAAGTGCCACAGTTTTCAGTTTCCAGTTGCCTTACTTGTGAATAACAAGCTGTGATTAAAAAAGGTTCTGCAGTTTGTTATTTAGTCCTGATGTGTGGGTGGTGTGGCACACACCTTTCATCCCAGCACTCGGGAAAGGCAGCCTGGTCTATAAAGTGAGTTCCAGGACTGAAAAAAAAAACTGAAAGCCCTGATGTGTATAATTCTCCTTGGTATAGGGATGCTTCCGATAGTGTGGAATTTGGATTACACAAATTGAACTACATATTTGCTGAGATCAGATGGGCTTTCAACATTTCTTGATGTAATAAGAATTTTCCTTATTAAATTCTTGGAACCTTGTAGATATAGGGCGTTCCCTTTGGGTGTAGCTGGCTGACCTAAATTTATCCTTCTCTGGGTAGACATGGGATGTCTTGTGTCTGAAAGGGAAAAAAAAAAACATTAGAAACCTCAGTTCCCTACTATGTGGAAGATATGCCCTAGGCCCATACCTTGTGCTTTGTTCCTATTCTCCCCCCCCTTTTTTTTTTGGTTTTTCGAGTCAGGGTCTCTCTGTGGTTTTGGAGCCTGTCCTGGAACTAGCTCTTGTAGACCAGGCTGGTCTCGAACTCACAGAGATCCTCCTGCCTCTGCCTCCCAAGTGCTGGGATTAAAGGCGTGCGCCACCTCCCCCCCTTTTTTTTTGAGACAGGATTCTCATTATATCGTGCTGGACTTGAATTTCCTATGCAGTCTATGCTGGCTTTGAACTCAGGATCCTAGCACTCTGTGAGCAGAGACAGGTGGATCTCTGTTTGAGGCCATCCTGGTCTACAGAGCGAGTTCCAGGACATGCTCCACAGCTACAAAGAGAAACCCTGTTTCCAAACCTCCCCCCCCAAAAAAAATTTTTTTTTAATTTGTTTTATTTTTGGTGATAAAAATTACTAGTATGGCTTACTTGTTCTCAAATAATTTAGCGGTATCATTCAGATAAGTAGTTTTGGTAATCTTAGTGTGAGAGAGTGGGTAGGTTTTCTTATTCTCTGAAGTTAAAGATGGCTCTTTGAAACTGTGGTTCAGTGTATAAATCTGGAAGCATGAGGATCCTAGAGTTCATGTAAAGAGAAAAGAGGTAGTGACATCTGTCACTGCAATGCTCCTATGGGGAGATGGGAGGTAGAGACAGTCCTGGGAAGTTCACGGACCAGCTAGTCTGAAGTATTACAGCTGAAAAAAAAAAAAAGCCATTTCTCAAGGTGGAAGGCAAGTACTGAAACCCAAGATCTTCTGACATCCCCCAAACAGGGTTTCTCTGTGTAGCCCTGGCTGTCCTGGAACTAACTCACTCTGTAGACCAGGCTGGCCTCGAACCAGGAGATCCACTTGCCTCTGCCTCCCAAGCGCTGGGATTAAAGGCGTGCACCGCCACCGCCCCGCAGATTTTTTTTTTTAATCACTATTTAAAAAAAATGGTGCACATGCTTTATAATTCCAGCATGGGCTACAGGGTGAGACCTTTCCCCAAAACAAACTTTCAGTGGGTCTTGGTGGCACATACCTGTAATCTAGCACTTGAGTGGAGACAGGAGGATCAGCTACTTACTGAGTTTGAGACTAGGTTGAAGTAACTGAGACTTGTTCCCAGAACAAAATGAATTAGTGTATTTGAGCCAGAAGGATCACCAGCCTGATTTTAAAAAGTAAAATAAAATAATAGGGCTGATAAAATGACTCAATTTATATCCAAACCTGATAATCTGAGTTCCAGACCTGGGGCCCACATGGTAGAAGGTGAAAACCAATTTTCAGAGTTGTGTAATTTTCACATGCATTCTGTGGCATGCACACATGTGCACACACATTACATGCATACTTACATACAGTAAATTGAGAAATTTGAAATAAAACATTGAACTGAGGATAGAGCTCAGGGTAAAGGGCTTGCCTAAAATATATTAGGTTTTATTCAGTCGAGGACTACTTTCACCCTCTCCCCTCCAAAAAAGATTAATTAAAATATATTTTAAATGATCTTTTAAATATAATTAGGGGGCTGAAGAGAGGGCTCAGCAGTGGCTCCTCTTCTAGAGGATCTGGGTTTGATTTCCAGCACCCAAATAGCGGATTATAGCTGTATGTAGCACCAGTCTCGGAACCTGAAGCCTTCTTCTGGCCTCTAGGTGCCAGGTGTGCACATGGTGCACATACATAAATATATAAGTACAGCCATACACAAAAACATTGAATTAAAAAAATACAGTCAATTGGTTGTATGTATTGCTTGTGAATTGTTAGTAGCTTCACTAGTTTGGAAAAAATTATTCTGAAAGATAAGTACCCTTCTACCCTGTCTGTGCTTTGGAAAATATTATTGTATTACTATATACTATGACATTTGCTGGAGAAATATTTTTGAGACGGAGTTGCTGTTGGCTTAGGTTGCACTTATAACTCAGTATGTAGCCCAGGTTAGTCTCAAACTTAGTAGTGTTTTAGTCCTGCCTCCTGATGCTGAGGTTACAGATATGCTTTAGACAATTTTTTTTTTTTTTTTTTTTTTTTTTGGTTTTTCCAGACAGGGTTTCTCTGTGGTTTGGAGCCTGTCCTGGAACTAGCTCTTGTAGACCAGGCTAGTCTCGAACTCACAGAGATCTGCCTGCCTCTGCCTCCCAAGTGCTGGGATTAAAGGCGTGTGCCACCACCGCCCGGCTTTTAGACAATTTTTTAAACAAGCTTTTTTGGAATTATTTTGAAAGAAATCTCATGTGTTGAATATAGTGGAATCAGTGCTCAGAGACAGAACTTCTATTTCAGTTGTATTGTGATCTGTGATATTTTGATGCAAAGGTAATACATTTGAAAGCGTAATTGCAGTGGTTTCTGTGAGTATCCCCGACCTGATGACAGTTTGTCCAGGAATTGCTCTATGTAAATTTGCTTTTTCATTAGACATTTGATGAAAACTTAGGAAAATAAGTTGAGGTTGAATATAATAATAGACTTATGGAATTTTCTGAATTATAAACATTAAGTGATTAAAAGCAATTACCATTCGAAGCTGAGCTTTAGTACTATTTTTATATTTATTTATTTTTGGCTATATGGCATATTCTTTGTATAAATACCTGATGGCATAGTCTTGATAGAATGGTTCTCAGACTTGAAAGCAGTATCACGTTAAACATGTGTGGGTCTTTGGTATCTCTCTTAAAAAAAACCTATATATTCTTAAGCAGTACTCCGCTGGTTTCATACTTAACTCTCTTTCATAATGTACAGTTCAGTGTGGCCTGTGCGTGTTTTGTTTCCTGCATTGATTTTTGCCTCCATTTATTCTCTATTGCAGTCTAAAAGTTGGTTTTAATTGGTTGCCCACAGGATTGACTTGGCCTCTACTTCTTAAGAAAATACATCTCTTGTTTTACAAGGTAAGAGATTTTGAATAGGCTTATTTTTATACAAAATAAAATGAGATATCTTATCAAGAAATAAGAAAGAAGATGTAGTAACCTGTGTGCTTGTATGTATATGTGTATGTGTGTTTACTTAGAAGCATATCTGGGGGAGAGGGTGGAATGAGTATTTATTTCCTCTGAGAGTCTGTTTTATTTACATGGATGCATTTCTTATTACTAGACAGTAAGCTTCGTGCCCTCCTCTGTAGCATTATAGATGGATGGTAAATACAGTGCTTCTTGGTATGGTTATTAATATTCCCTAGAAATACAGGTATAGATGTTAGGTGATAGTTTACAGAGTATGAATTTTAAAGCTTATAATTGAATTTAATTTTTTTTTATTTATTCTTTTTTTTTTGAGACAGGGTTTCTCTGTGGTTTTGGAGCCTGTCCTGGAACTAGCTCTGTAGACCAGGCTGGTCTCGAACTCACAGAGGTCCGCCTGCCTCTGCCTCCCGAGCCAGGCCGAATTTAACTTAACTTTTTGTTGAAGGGAACAAGCTAGACTCAAGTTCAGGTTAAGGTTTCCTATCATGCAGATACTTAGTAGCAGAGTAGCAGATGCCCCTTCATGCTTTTCAGAACCTAACAATGTTTCTTGTCAGATAGCTTTAGGAGCAAGTCTTGTACTCTGCTTGGTTTGATTCTCCAGCCCCTTTTCCAGTTGGCAATTTTAGGCAGGTTATTAATAATTGAAATGTTTTTGTGGATGCATTGTACCGAAGACTTAATTAACTTAATATGGCTTAAAAATTTACTGTGAATGTCATTTAGGCTTGTGTTTAATCTGTGTTCTTGGGACCATTTGAAGTTCTCATCTGCCGGGCGGTGGTGGCGCACGCCTTTAATCCCAGCACTCGGGAGGCAGAGGCAGGCGGATCTCTGTGAGTTCGAGACCAGCCTGGTCTACAGAGCTAGTTCCAGGACAGGTTCCAAAGCCACAGAGAAACCCTGTCTCGAAAAACCAAAAAAAAAAAAAAATAAAATAAAGTTCTCATCTTATTCTTTAATTGCAAACTAAAGTATCTGTTTCTCAGGTTTTGAATACCTGACTTCTGTATGATGTTTTCCCCATAGAAAGTGGTGGAACATTTTATTTTGAAATTAAACAGAGTCCCATCACAATTTGCACTTAAATGTTTCATACTCAATAAGAAATGTAAACTTGGGCTGGAGAGATGGCTCAGTGGTTAAGAGCATTGCCTGCTCTTCCAAAGGTCCTGAGTTCAATTCCCGGCAACCACATGGTGGCTCACAACCATCTGTAATGAGGTCTGGTGCCCTCTTCTGGCCTGCAGACATACACACAGACAGAATATTGTATGCATAATAAATAAATAAATATAAAAAAAAAAAAGAAAAAAAAAGAAATGTAAACTTGTCTCAGTTATTTGGAAATGGTCTGATAAACTTTCATATTACCTACTAAATAGATAATTGAGAAAGTCTATTGGTGATATTTATTTCTTTTTTAGTTGTGTGTGTGCTTGCGTGTGCTGGTGCTTGCAGTGACACATATGGGTCAGTCAGTTGTCCCTTTCTACCATGTAGATCCCAGGGATTAAATTCAGGTTTTTTCTACCTGAGCCATCTTACCAGCCCTCTTGTTAACTCTTGAGGTCCATACCTGAAAAACTTTACTCACCACACCCGTTTTCAGTGCTTTCTGATGGTCTCATAGAATATTTTCTCTCTGCTAGTCTATCATTCTTGATTAAATTTGAAGATTGCTTTTTATCTTTGTATAATTGTGTGAGAACTAGGGGAATAAGTCAGTTTGGTGAAGTATTTGCTTAGCAAGCACAACTTGGCTAAATTCCCTGTATCACTTAAACTGGGTATTAGGTAGCACATCTCAGCACTGAGGAGATGAAGGTAGGAGCATCCAGAAGTTCAGGGTCATCTGTTTATACAGCCAGTGTAAGAGACCCTATCTCAAAAAAGGAAGTCATACTTGCGTAGTCAAAGAGACAAGAGGCCAGACAAACCAGTAAGAAGTTAACAGGCAGAATTTGTCATCATTTCATTGTGTTGGTTTTGCTTGTGTCCTAAGATGCAAAGGTCAGTGACTCTTAACTGTCTACAAATAGAATGTGATTCTAAATATCCTGTTTGATTATGTTTGTTTGAGTTTTGAAATTTCTTCAGATAATAGTAAACAGTGAGGTGGATTTTTGTGGTTTTGGTTGTTCAAAAAGTTTTAAAATAGAACATATAACGAGGAATGATGGTATACCTTTTGATCCCAGCACCTAGGAGGTAGAGGCAGAGGCAGGTGGATCTCTGTGAGATGGAGTACAGCCTGGTCTCCTTATGGAGTTCCAGGTTTTCTGAGGCTACTTGATAAGACCATATCTCAAAGTAAACAGAGAAGATAAGTGAGTGAGTGTGTGTGTGTGTGTGTGTGTGTGTGTGTGTGTAGAAACAAATAGGAAAAAAACCTATCAAAACCAAAGAATATATTTCTATTTTGTATAGTAATTATAATATTGTGATTCAATTAGATTTTATTACATTAAATTAGGGTTTGTACATTGAAGAATTCCTTCCATTGGTTTGCATAAGCCTTAGAACTTATAGCAGGCAACCTTGTCCTTTCTAATGTTCTTACATGATAAGTAATTAAACCAGGTCTCATACAATTAAAATTTGCCTGAGGTCTCAGAACCAGTTTAATAGGATTATATTTAAACATTAGTTTCAAATTATCATTTTTCTAATCCCCAAATTTTGATTCCCATTCTTTTACTAAAGTAGAAAACATTAAAACTTAAATGCAGCCAGGCGATAGTGGCGCATGCCTTTAATCCCAACATTCTAGAGGCAGAGACAGGTGGCTCTGTGAGTTTGAAGCCAGCCTGGTCTACAGAGTGAGTTCCAGGAGAGCTCCCAAAGCTACACAGAGAAACCCTGTCTGAAAAACAAAACAACTAAAAAAACCAAAATATTGAAATGCTAATGCTACCAGGTACCACAATGGCAACAGGAACAATCAGTCAATAAATGTTGAATGGAAAGAGGGCCTGCTTTTGGTCCTAGACCCCACCGCTAGCTTACATCCGAAATAATCACACAGAAACTATTCATTTAAACACTGCCTGGCCCATTAGTTTTAGCCTCTTATTGGCTAACTCACATCTTGATTCAACCCATTTCTAATAATCTGTATAACACTATGAGGTTGTCGATTACTGGGAAAGATTATAACCAACGTCAGTCTCAGGCAGGAGCTTCATGGCGTCTCACTGTCTGTTCTTCTTCCCAGCATTCACTTCTGTCTACTTGCCTATCTAAGGGCTGCCCTATCAAGGCCAAGGCAGTTTCTTTATTCAACCAATGAAAGCAACACATAGACAGAAGAACCTCCTACACCAAATAAATATTTGAAAGTCTTGATACCAGATTAAAACTTGGGTGAAACTTTTATTTAAAAAATAAAAAATTTTTAAAAAGATTTAAATTACGTATGTCTTTGGCTTTGTACACATGAGTGCAGGTACTTGTGCAAGCCAGATGAATGAGAGCCCCTGTGGCTGAAGTTAAAAAGCAGCTGTATTCCTCCTTGGAACTGAGCTCTGGTTCCTTAGAAGAGCAGTTTGAGCTTCTCAGCTATCTTTCTACCCCTATTTTAAAATAAATGGGTATGAATGGTTGCCTACGTGTATGTGTATGCACCTAGCAAGGACAGAAGGAGTTGAAACCCCTGAACTATGTGTTTGTGAGCTACTATACTACATAGATGCTGGGAATTAAACATGGGTCCTTTATAGGAACATGTGATCTTAATCACTGAACCATCTCTCCAGTCCCCTTATTATTTTGAAGCGGTTTCATGTAGCTCAGGCTGACCTTAAATTGGCTGTGTAGCCAAGTAGTCAAGTATGACTTTAGACTGATCCTCTTGTGACTAACTCTCCCATGCTAGGATTGCAGGTATATGCCTCCATACTCAGTACCCAGTTAATGAGGTGATGGGACTGAACCAAAATCCTCATGGATGCCAAGCAAGCACTCTACCAACTAAGCTACATTTCCAGCCCATATTGTTGCTACACTACTTTTTTTTTTTTTTTTTTTTTTTTTTGGCTACAGTATCTCACTATTTATCTCTGACTGTCCTGGAACTCACTGTAGACCAAGCTGGCCTCAGATTTACAGATATCTGCTTGCCTGTGACTCCAGGATGCTGGGATTAAAAGTGTAGGCCACCATAGCCAAATTTGTCTGCTTCTGCCTCTCAAGTGCTGCCCTATTACTATTATTAAAGAATTACTTTATGTATGTGAATATTGTTATGTATATATGTGTACCGCATTGTTTCTGGTGCTTATGGAGGACAGAAGCAAGCATCAGATCTCCTGGAACCAAGTTAGAGGTGGTTGTGAGCTACTGTGAGGGTGCTGGGCCTCAGTTTCTCAGTAAGAGCAGTGAACACTCTTAACTGCTGATCCATTTCTCCAGCTGAACCTCATTATTATTATTATTATTATTATTTTACAATTATTTACTTGTGTGTGTGTCTAAGTTGATTCTCTCCCTTAATTCATCTCCTGGGGATGGAACTCAAGTCTTCAATATTGGTAGCAAGCTGAACCATCTCACCGAGCCCCTTCCCTATCCTCCTTATTTATTTTTTTGAGTCAAGTTTTGCTAGGAGATCAGTGAGCAACAAGAGATTCAACAGGAGTTGTTAAGTTGGGTCAGAGGCCCTAGTCGTGAATTGTACATTAATATGTAATCTATGATACTGCTCTGGGATTCAAGATCCTCCTGCCTCAACCTCTCAAATACTGGGATAATTTGCATCCACCACCATACTGAGCTTTTGGGGAATTGGGGATGGATCCCAGAACTTTTATGAGTGCTAGGCAAACATTCTACCAACGGATCTATTTTGTTTGTTTCTTTGAAACTGAATCTCACGTTGAAGCCCTCACTGGCCTGAAACTCTTATGTAGAGCAGAATGGCTTCAATCCCACAGAAATCTACCTCTCAAGTGCTGGGATTAGAGGCAGATCCATCTGTCTGGCCCTAGGTGTTTGTTTGTTTGTTTTTAAAGATTTAAAGTTTTTTTTTTTTTTTTTTTTTTTGGTTTTTCTAGACAGGGTTTTTTAGTAGCTATGGAGCCAGTCCTGGAACTCACTCTGTAGACTCAAATTAGCTTCAAACTCACAGAGGTCCTCCTGCTTCTGCCTTCCAAGTGCTAGGATTAAAGGTGTGTGCCACCACTGCCTGGCTTAAAGTTGTTGTTCAATGCAAAATTTGGTAGAATCACTCACTGGACCTGAGATTTGGTTAAATAGCCATGGTGAATAATGGTGTGATAGGTTCCACTTTAGGGTAATAAATACAGGCTAACTCAGATTTTTGCTATTATATTTAGTATTTCTTTGGATTCTTAATATGTATTAACTTTGCTTATAGTAAATTCAGATAGTGTTTGTGCATTCATGCACACATGTGCGTGTACACATGTGCACATAAATAAGCCTGTATGTACAGGGTAATTGCTGAAAGATGATGTCAGGTACTCCATTGTTCTTTGCCTTATTCTTTTTTTTTTAAATATTTATTTATTTATTATGTATACAGTATTCTGTCTGTATGCCTGCAGGCCAGAAGAGGGCACCAGACCCCATTACAGATGGTTGTGAGCCACCATGTGGTTGCTGGGAATTGAACTCAGGTCCTTTGGAAGAGCAGGCAATGCTCTTAACCTCTGAGCCATCTCTCCAACCCCTGCCTTATTCTTTTGATAGATAGATATCTCTTACTATACCTGGAACTAGACTGACAGTTGGGGATTCTAGGCAGTTTCAAATGTGTACAGCCACACTTTGTGGATGCCGGGCTAGAACTCATGTTCTTAGAATTGTACATACAGAAAGTGCTCTCTTACCTACTGAATAATCTCTGCAACCCCAGATAGTTCTTTGTTTTAATAAAACTATAAAACAAATTCAGTGTTTTACTACGAAATATGGAATCTGTTATCATTTGTGATTTCTGGTGCTAAGGATTGAACTCAAGTCCTTGTGAATGCTTTTCACATTTGAGATATGTCTTTCATTTGAGATATGAACCTACTTTATTGTTAGGTGCTTGTAATCCAGGAACATTCCAGTTTTCTGTTTCTTTTGGGTTTTGAGATTGAGCCTTATAAAGAATCATTCTTATAACTATGAAATTGTAATGTTTTAAAGGAAGAGGCTGAATCAGTTTTATTTTATTTTTTTTTTTTTTTTAAATATTTATTTATTTATTTATTATATACAATATTCTGGTGCCGGAAGAGGGCACCAGACCTCTTTACAGATGGTTGTGAGCCACCATGTGGTTGCTGGGAATTGAACTCAGGACCTCTGGAAGAACAGTCAGTGCTCTTAACCACTGAGCCATCTCTCCAGCCCCTGAATCAGTTTTAAGTATTAATTTTTGATGCATCCTTTGTATGATTTCCCCCTATAGATTTTTATGCATTTCTTCTAAATCTCACTGAAAGTTTAGTGCTCTGAATGTTTATGGTGACTTTATTCTATAGTTTTTCTTGAATCTTTTGAGTCTTGGACTGAACCTCTTTATTGCAATTGTTCAGATCTTTCAATGGTTTAAATTAAAGACATTGTGATAGCTTGAGGGAATGTTTGTGGGATAATATGGTAGCTGGTCATTCTTGCACCTAAAAACTTGGTATAATAAAAAGGAGTCTGACATGGCCGTTGCCTTTTCTCATCTGCAGGTGTGTGTGGTTTCAGCGCAGCATGGCTGTGGTCATCCGCTTGCAAGGTCTCCCAATTGTGGCGGGGACCATGGACATTCGCCACTTCTTCTCTGGATTGACCATCCCTGATGGGGGCGTGCATATTGTAGGGGGTGAACTGGGTGAGGCTTTCATCGTTTTTGCCACTGATGAAGATGCAAGGCTTGGTATGATGCGCACAGGTGGTACAATTAAAGGGTCAAAAGTAACACTGTTATTGAGTAGTAAAACAGAAATGCAGAATATGATTGAACTGAGTCGTAGGCGTTTTGAAACTGCCAACTTAGATATACCACCAGCAAATGCTAGTAGATCAGGACCACCACCTAGCTCAGGGATGAGCAGCAGGGTAAACTTGCCAGCAACAGCACCCAACTTTAATAATCCTTCGCCAAGTGTAGTTACTGCTACCACTTCTGTTCATGAGAGCAGCAAAAACATACAGACATTTTCCACAGCCAGCGTAGGAACTGCTCCTCCAAGTATGGGGACTTCGTTTGGGAGTCCAACATTCAGCTCAACCATTCCGAGTACAGCTTCTCCAATGAACACGGTCCCACCACCACCAATTCCTCCAATTCCAGCGATGCCATCTTTGCCACCGCTGCCATCCATTCCCCCAATACCAGTTCCTCCTCCAGTACCAACATTGCCTCCTGTGCCTCCTGTGCCTCCCATTCCCCCAGTCCCTTCGGTGCCACCTATTAACCCATTGCCACCCATGTCAGGCATGCCACCCTTGAATCCACCACCTGTGGCACCTCTACCTGCTGGAATGAATGGCTCTGGAGCACCTATGAGTCTGAACAATAATCTGAACCCTGTGTTTCTGGGTCCATTAAATCCTGTTAACCCTATCCAGATGAACTCTCAAAGCAACGTGAAGTCACTTCCCATCAACCCTGATGATCTGTATGTGAGTGTGCATGGAATGCCTTTTTCTGCAATGGAAAATGATGTCAGAGAGTTTTTCCACGGGCTTCGAGTTGATGCAGTACATTTGTTAAAAGATCACGTAGGTCGAAATAATGGGAATGGATTGGTTAAGTTTCTCTCACCTCAAGATACATTTGAAGCTTTGAAACGGAACAGAATGCTGATGATTCAACGCTATGTGGAAGTCAGTCCTGCCACAGAGAGACAGTGGGTAGCTGCTGGAGGTCATATCACTTTTAAACAAAGTATGGGGTCTTCTGGACAAGCCCATCCCCCTCCACAGACACTTCCAAGGTCAAAATCGCCCAGTGGGCAGAAAAGGTCACGGTCAAGATCACCACACGAGGCTGGTTTTTGTGTTTACTTAAAAGGGCTACCTTTTGAAGCCGAAAACAAACATGTCATTGATTTTTTTAAGAAGTTGGATATTGTGGAAGATAGTATTTATATAGCTTATGGACCCAATGGCAAAGCAACTGGTGAAGGCTTTGTAGAATTCAGGAATGATGCTGACTATAAGGCTGCACTGTGCCGTCATAAACAATACATGGGCAACCGCTTTATCCAAGTTCATCCAATTACTAAGAAAGGTATGCTAGAAAAGATAGATATGATTCGAAAACGACTTCAGAACTTCAGCTATGACCAGAGGGAAATAGTGTTAAATCCAGAGGGGGATGTCAGTTCTGCCAAAGTCTGTGCCCATATAACAAACATTCCATTCAGCATTACCAAGATGGACGTTCTTCAGTTCCTAGAAGGAATCCCAGTGGATGAGAATGCTGTACATGTTCTTGTTGATAATAATGGGCAAGGTCTAGGGCAAGCACTGGTTCAGTTTAAAACTGAAGATGATGCTCGTAAATCTGAACACTTACACCGTAAAAAGCTGAATGGGAGAGAAGCTTTTGTTCATATAGTTACCCTAGAAGATATGCGAGAGATTGAGAAAAATCCCCCAGCCCAAGGAAAAAAGGGCTTAAAGATTCCTGTTCCAGGTAATCCTGCAGTACCAGTGATGCCTAGTACAGGGATGCCTGCTGCTGGAATTCCCACTGCTGGAATACCCGGTGCTGGGATACCTGGTGCCGGAATGCCAGGTGCTGGAATGCCTAATGCGGGTATGCCCACTGCTGGAATGCCTGGTGCTGGGATGCCCAGCGCTGGAATACCCGGTGCCGGAATACCTGGTGCCGGAATACCTGGTGCTGGAATACCTGGTGCCGGAATACCTGGTCCCGCAATGCCCGGTCCAGCAATACCCGGACCAGCAATACCCGGTCCCGCAATGCCTGGTCCTGCAATGCCTGGTCCTGCAATGCCTGGTCCCGCAATACCCGGTCCCGCAATGCCTGGTGCCGCAATACCTGGTCCTGCTATGCCCGGTGCTGGCATTCCCACTGCAGGAGGAGAAGAGCATGTCTTCTTGACTGTAGGATCGAAGGAGGCCAATAATGGGCCGCCATTTAACTTCCCTGGTAATTTTGGTGGGCCGAATGCCTTTGGACCACCACTTCCCCCTCCAGGATTAGGAGGTGCCTTTGGTGATGTTAGGCCTGTTATGCCTTCAGTTGGAAACAGTGGTTTGCCTGGCCTAGGACTGGAAGTTCCAGGTTTTGGAGGTGCACCAAATAATTTAAGTGGGCCGTCAGGATTTGGGGGGATCCCTCAGAATTTTGGAAATGGCCCTGGTAGTTTAAGTGCTCCTCCTGGTTTTGGAAGTGGACCCCCTGGTCTTGGAAACGTTCCTGGGCATTTGAGCGGGCCTCCAGCATTTGGGCCTGGGCCTGGGCCTGGCCCAATACATATCGGGGGTCCCCCTGGCTTTGCAGCTAGCTCTGGAAAACCAGGACCTACAATAATTAAGGTGCAGAACATGCCCTTTACTGTATCTATTGATGAAATTTTAGATTTCTTTTATGGTTATCAGGTAATCCCAGGTTCAGTATGTTTAAAATACAATGAAAAAGGTATGCCTACAGGTGAAGCCATGGTGGCCTTTGAATCGCGGGATGAAGCCACTGCTGCCGTCATTGACTTAAATGATAGGCCTATAGGTTCGAGAAAGGTAAAGCTTGTTTTAGGGTAGCCGTTCACATCAGTTCTTTAGGGTATATCTTCATGTTGCTGTGATTAATGCATCCAGATTGTTTTCCTAGTATTTCCAGGTTAGAACCTGTGGATTGTTTCTATTGCAGATAGATTGGTTTCTATAACACAGAGCTTGGTTGGCTGTTTACAACCCACAGAATAAACATTGCAGTTTGTTACAGTAAAGCTATCTGGAGGGAACACCAAAAATAATTTGGGCATACCAGTAGAAACCATTTCTAAAACTTGTTGATCTTATAAAGCTTATCAAGGAATCTAGATTGGCTTCTTTTATACCACATGGGATGAAGAAGATAGAAACAAGAGTAGAGCTCATGGAGGGTGCTCTTGCCAGTTACTGACAACTGGAAGTTTTGCAATTTGATTTAAAGTTGGACATATTTGCTTTGTTATAGGGTCAAAGCTTTGTCTACAACCTACATTTTCTTTTAAAATTGAATAAAGTCTCTGTATCTGGATTCATTGTATGTACCTTTATTGCTTCTTGAGGGTTCTTGCTGTATAGATAGTCCTGCTTCAGATGTTGCCGCTATTTGCCTAATTGACTCACTTGTAATGAGTACAACTACTTCGTTGGTTTTTAATTAATTTCTAATATAAAAACTCCACACTTGGTTTGTGCTATATAACCCTGAACTTTGATTTCTAATGTCACACTTATGATTGTGTGGAATGACTTTTACCATAAAAATAAACTATGGAGTCCTCTACTGGCCTTTTTTGGTTTGAACGCTAAGTTTTATTAGTTTAGTAAGTTTAAAATTGTTTATATTGTTTGGATGGTAAGGGAAACCAGAAACCACTTTAGTAATCAGTGTTTAGGTGTTTGATTTGAAGTCCTTATTGTGATGGACTAATTTAGCAAATTGCTTTTGTCCCAATTTTAGGTGACATTTGGAACAAAGGGGTCCATAAGAAAGAGCAGTCTATCTTGGAATTTAAAACTGAAGTTGAAGTTGGTAGTTTGTTAGCATTATTATTGTTGTAGAATGTAAGATCCCTAAGGTGGACTGTAGGTTGGTGTGTGCTTAATTCTGTCAATTTGGAGGCTTTTGGTGTAGTTGTTTGATCACGAGCCTGTTCACAAATATTCTTATGCAGAGTACAGCTGTCAGAGGAGAGAACTGAGATGACTCCTTGCGTTTTCATTTTCTTTCCTTTTGGCAATCAGGGCACCAAAGTAGGGGATCACATAGACTTTGGTTGGCTAAATGTCCTTTTCATAAAAGTATTTGGTTCATTACATCTTGTTTATTTACACTTAAGGGCCTTTAGGGGTTTTTCTTTATTTAAAATGCTTGAAAACTTTTATATTAATATACAGAATTGAAGATTAATGAATAATCATGGAAAATAAATTAAATCTTTCACAGACCTTGCTTTGATTTGAAATACATCAACATTATTTACAAGTCTGCATTTGCTTTTAAAAAGAGACATTTCTTGTATATACATATATGTATATGTACACACACATACATATACATATACCACACACAAACATGTATGTATGTCTATATGTAGTGCCTTTGTGGTGTTCTAGGGTAGTGGAACACTGAAATACAGTTTCGTCGTTAACTCTCGAGTTATGAGTGGCAACAGTCCCTTGTGTGATAAAGTGTGGAAAACCTATTCACTGCTGTAGTCTTGGAGGGCAATAGTATGGAGTTTTTGTTTAGGGAACGGATTATGCAGACTTTGAAAAGAAGTGGCTGCATTGTGAATCACTTAGTAACTCACAGATACAATTTATTCAACAGATAGATAACTGTCTCAAAAAGCAATATGTTTATATGTGATGTTTTTTGTTAAGTAATCATTTCTCATTCCAAAGACAGAATGTGAACACTTCAGAACTACTTGGGGCATCTTATTTCAACTCCTGGTTATTTTCCATTGGAAAGCTGACTTTCTTTTAGAAAAATTGGTTGTTGGAAGGTGACATTCTTTTATTCTTTCTCACTATTTTGGTTGTATATTCCTACACATTTATTAAATATTTCATACACTCAATTGCACCTATTGTTATTTCTACATTTTAGATAAATGCTAAAAAGAAAAACTTGGATCTCACTGTTCATTAAATAAATTAAGAAAATAGTGTTGGTGTAGAAATCAGAGAGAACTGTGTTCTGCATTCGCTTGGGTCACAACAGTGTTTGTTGTGAAATGTAATTAAATGCTCTGCCCTCTGGAACTTCAGTTTGTGTATCTATCTATGAGATTATTAACAGACCTAATTGCTAAGTATATTGTTTTATCTTGTTCTGGGCATTGAAGTTTCAGTTTTTGTTTTAATAACCATGAAAATGTGTTTTATGAAACTATTTATACCTCTCGACAAATTTTCTCCAGAACTAGGTTTGGTATAGACTTGAATTTACATAATCTTTTCGTTTGTATGGCATGAAGGCTTTGTAAAGCTCTGCTCAAAGAGTGTTTGTAAACACTACCCAGGTATTCTCAATTTCACGTGTAAATTCTATTGTCTGTTTTCGGTGTCTTTGATATTAATGGATGAGAATATTTTCCATTAGGTTTATTTTTTTCCTAAGTTCTGTTGGTGTTTGGTTTTTTTTTCCTTTTGCTTTTAAAGGATTAGCAAAACCTACAAATGTATTTTATAAATAAGCAAATTTGTAAATTTTCTTGAACTTCAGTGACAGATTTAGTTCATAAGCATAATTTGGAGGTGTTTTTTTGTGATTATACTAGTTTGGATGTACAATTATTAGTGGCTGTTTTGGGTTTTGTTTTAATCCAACAGTGTTAAGTGAAATATCGTTCCTGCATTAGGAAATGTCAAACTTACTGATAGTAATACTCAGTGTAGTTAAGATCAGTTTTGACCTGTTTGATGATAGGAGTTTGTATATATATATATATATAGAAGTAAGCAAGCTTACCCAATTTGGGTGAAAATGGTCACCTTGCACAAAAAAAGGAAACACAAAAGCTTACTCAATCTCCATCTTGATGGACCTGTGATTGTACAAGTATGTGAAAATAAAGTGCACTCAGTCTAAAAGCACTGGAAAATGAGTTAAGAATGTGTAAAAAATCCGTTTTGGGAAGAGATTCTGGTGGTGATCACTTTTGAGTACTTTTCCCACTCACAATTGCCATGTGTAAATTTTTTCCTTCAGCTGTTTTATTGGCAGTTCTATAGTCCAATTTAGAAACCAGTGCAGCCGAGAGGCTGTCGGTGTGACACACCATGCCAGCACCTACTACTGTGGCATCGTTTAGCAGTTTTTCACTTATAAAGAAGAAGTCTTGGATACTGTTCAATAAACTTGTCACAAAATAAAGGCTGATGCTTTTAATGCTTTAACTGCACAAAGTATGTCTTTGAGCTGTAATACCGCTTTTTGGATTTTTGTGTTTAACAAATGACATATTTGTGCCTTTGGAAATGTGGATTTGGTTATTTTAGAGGTAAAAATTGTTGTGTGTTCTTGTCTAATGCTGAAGTGTGGGAAGAAGAGGATGCTTTGGGATGGCAGGGAGGAAACTTGATTCTAGGTCAAATCTGTGGTATCGGAATTTCATTTTATTGTGTGTGCTTTGCTAGCTAATGGCTTCGTTATGTGGATTTGGAAAACTTGAGGACCAGATACTCCTCATCAGGAGTCTCCAAGGGGTCTCTGAACTCTCATTTTTAAATAATGGTTGCAATGGAAAAGTAAAAGAAATTCTCGGAGTAGATTCTTTATTTCACTGCTTAAAGCTTTGCTTTTGTATTTCTTTGTGATGGGTTTAAGGCGGGGAAGAAAGGGGAGCCAAGTCACTTGCTGCTTCGTGACATCGCTGTTTTGGGTTTTCATCCCTTTCATATTTGTTCAACTTACGAGAATTAGGAAAGGAAGTTGTCATAGACGGCTGGTTTATTTTTTTAAAGGATGGGTTAGAATTGCAAAAGTTAGTGGGCTGTTCCCTGAAACCACAGTTCTTGGAAAATGCTTGTAATTTTTATCTTTATTACATAAGACTTTAGCTTGTATTTGAATTTTCTGTTGTTTAAGAAAGTCTGAGGGGGCTGGAGAGATGGCTCAGTGGTTAAGAGCATTGCCTGCTCTTCCAAAGGTCATGAGTTCAATTTCCGGCAACCACATGGTGGCTCACAACCATCTGTAATGGGGTCTGGTGCCCTCTTCTGGTCTGCAAACACACAGACAGAATATTGTATACATAATAAATAAATAAATAAGTATTTTTAAAAAAAGTCTGAGCAGACAGCCTACCACTGAGCTACAATGTCCTGCTTTAGATGAGCTTAGACTAATACATAATCCCAGGTAGCAACTGACTATTACAGAGCTAGGGTATCATTATACTGCCTAGGCTAACTTAGATGCGTTAAAGCACTCTTCGACCTCAGCTTTTGGAGTAACTGAGCAACAGACATAGGCCACCTTGTCTGAATCTTAAAAACTGATCAATGTTGAGTAAGCATTTGAAAGATGATTAAGTGGGATCCGCCACCCCCACATACACAGTGTAGCTTTACCATCTGAAAGGGGTGGACTCAAGAGAGGTCACTTCTGTAATTCATTGTTTTCTGCTATCTAACATTTTACACAAGAAAAGAAATAAGTTAGGTATATGTATGCCCAGCATTACTCTACCCAAAATAGATTTTAGAAAATATAGGATCTAAATTTAGATACTTTTTGGGGTGGGGGGGGGGCAAAGTTTCTCTGACTGTCCTGGAACTCTGTTTTGTAGACCAGGCTGGCCTCAAACTCAGAGATTATTCCCTGCCTCTGCCTCCCAAGAACTGGCATTAAAGGCTGTGCTACCACTCCTGGCCAAAGATTTTGTTTTTTTAGTATAAACTCTGAAAGCTCATGAAGGCTTAATGTAAGATAGTTTGAAGAGTACTGTGGTAGTACCTTTGCAGAAGGCACAGTTCAGTGAAGATCCTTATGTTCAGCAACATAAGCAAGTTAATCTATTAAATGGTAATTATTAGTGTGTTCTTCTGGACTTATTTGTGGTGTTTTGAGCTACGTTGTATGTCTGAAAGTCAAAAGCATCATTAAGTATGGCTTTTCTGGATCAGCATAAGTCACAAACAGTCAAGACAACATACTATTAAATATCAGCCCTGCTACTGAAGAGTCCAGGAGAAATGATCCTGATGTAAACAGTCCAGCCCCAGGTACAGGATAGCACTTCAAAAACACTGAGGCAGTATATTAGGGGAGAGAATCTCACTAATCAAGTTCTTTGATTTCTCTTGAGCTCCGGAACCTCCCTCCAAAGAAAGTCAGGACATAAAATTTAGCAGATGAGTTGTAGAGAAGTGATGAATGACAAGGCTGATACTGCTCCCTGTCAGACATCTACACTCTGGCCTAGGGAACAATTAATTTTTTAGTCTCTTTTCCTAATCTGAAAGGAGGTAAAACAAGTACAGAGGCATAGCAACAACCTAATTCACCCCACGAGTTGCCTTGATGTTCAATCTCTCCCGCCACCATCAGTTTTTTCTTTTCCTACTCACATAGTAAATCATCTGGAAGCCAGATGATGGGTCTCAGTAGAATGTAGTTTCCTGACAAGTAGAGAGTGTTTACTTTGAGCTTTTTGCTCAGGATGGTTACATGTGACCGTACCAACAGTAACCACGTTGTGCTGCTACATACTAGCGGTTAAATGGTTCACACTTAAGAAAGGCTAGTCATTACATATGCTTCTAATCCCAGCACTCTGGATCAGCCTGGTTTACATAGTGACTTCAAGCCAGGTAGGGCTACACAGTGAGACCTCACTCATCTCAAGGGAGAAAAGAAAAAAAAGTTTTGCTGTTTGAACAGTCTTCTACATAACAAATCATTTGGCTACTGATTGCCTAATGTCTTGCTCCTTTTTGAATTAGACCTCTCCCTTTTGCCACAATGTTAGGTTGCAAATGGGGCCAGGTGGCTGGCACAGCATGTTATTCCCTTCAGCCTTATGATCTGTGGGACCATCAATGCCTCTTGGCTATAAACTTGCTCAGGTGGCTATTTACTACAGTAGATTCCTCTTCGTTCCTTTGATGGGGGAACTCAGCTTCATACACTTAGATTTTCATGTAGCTATAACTTGACCATATGTCGTCCTAACACATTTTTGGGCAGTTGTGTGCCGAACACAACAGGTCTTAATGGTGGGAAGGCAAACGAAAAATGCCTGTTTCTTAAGAGATTAGATTCTTAAATTCATACATATAAGTGCTTAGTTGTACTTGGAACTGAATGTAACACAGGAACTGTGTAAAGGCTTTCCTGGCCAGTCCATAAAGATGGTCAGACAGTTAACACATGTGAAACTAACTCATGGTTATACTATAGCTTCCCCATTGGAAATTTTAGTTTTCCAGACAGGCGTTTTATAGAAGAATCCTTAAGAACCTCCATATATTCCACCCAAGTGCATTGCTCCAGTGAGGAGTATGGAAGCATGCTCTCCCTTAGTTTGCTGTGCTGCTCAACTTGTATGCACACTGGTGAGACAGTGGTTTTTGGCAGTACCCTTGTGATGCTCAGAGATGGTCAGGGATTACCTCACAACACCCCATGTATAACAGGCATTGAATATGTTAAATTGTAACAGGGTAGGATAGAGACAGAAATGACTACCGTTGAAGGTAGCTGCTGCAAGTCTCCTTTCTGAGGTGAATTTTATCACACGTTTGTCTTAGTATTTGCATTTGCTGTTTCAGATTCACCCTTTGAGATCCTGTGAATGTGGGGTCCAGCAAATCCCCTGTTCCTGTTCCAGTAATAAGGAGATTATGGTGGATGTCCTTTGCCCCTATGTATAAGGCTAGTTAATGAAGGCCATGGAAAAGAGGCCTTGGAGACACAATAGGAAGATTTTAGTGGTTACCTTGATCTAAGATTGGACTGGATTACAGGATGTGAATAGTGATATAGTATGGGACAGAGGAATCCCCTTTGGTACCATCAGTTCTTGTGACCCATGGCAAATGTGTTCTTTGGCCTCTGTTTATAAAAGGGGATTTAGATTACCCTGTCCAGTTATAAGCATCTATGGTTCTGTGAACCCAGCTACTCCATTTCTTTTGAAATCTGAGAAGATAAAAGCATGGAACTAAAGTGATTTTGATTTAGCCTTTGTGTGACCCTTCCCTTTTCTGTGTGGTGGAAACACCATGTTGTCATTTAAGTTGTGAGTGCCCCGTGAGCCAACGAGGAGCAGAAGTGGTGCTGCACCAAGACCCAAAGGCACACTTAACTCATTTGTGAGTGTTAAAGGAGAAAATACATTGTAGGCATCCTACCAAATGAAGGACCCTTATTATTGGTCACTAAGTCCCTAGAGGTGCCATCACCACTCTCATTTTATTTAATTAATTAATTATTACTGTCTTTTTGGGACAGGGTTTCTCTGTAGCTTTGGAGCCTATCCTGGAACTAACTCTTGCAGACCAGGCTGGCCTTGAACTCAGATACCCGCCTGCCTCTGCCTCCCAAGTGCGCGGGCCACCACTCCCATTTTATAGATAGAGGTTTTTCAATTTACTTTGTAGCCCAAGCTGGCAATAAAATAATCTTCCTCCGTGTTGGGATTACAGGTATGAGCTTTGAACCTGTCTAACTATGAGTGGAATTCTCATGGATGCTCGATTACTTCATAGATAGCAAGTGTTGCCTGTTTCTCCTGGATCCGGGGGAGGGGGACTGAAGTCGCTAGCAGTATGATGTGCCCCAAATCAGAAATGCTCCATAATTTTAGTTCCCTAACTCCAAGTAAGCATGGAGAAACAAAAGCGCTACCTGCTAACTCGTCCTCAGGTACTGACCAGGCAGGTTTTTTGAAGTGGGCAGATGAAGTTTGGTATAGTATGTGTTCAGAGTCTCTGGGTGAAGAGGAACTCAATGCTAAGGTAGTTGAGTTCCTCCATATCCAGTTCTCTCAGCTAGGTCTTACTATTTTTTTTTTTTCTGTGAATGGTCCGGCACAGGTGAGATGTTTGGCTTTGGGGTAGTCTTCACCGGTTTTGCAGTTGGATGAGTGGTCATCCCAGTACAAGGTGGGAAACTGCTGAATTTTCCCACTTTGGTTTTCTGTGTGGCACATAGGTTTCTTAGAAATACATGCTTCAGAAGGAATCTCACTTTAAAATTTTAATTTGTGAACACAGTTTTATTAGTCCTAAGATACATATGACTCAAGAATGGCACTTTATAGTAAGGACTTGGACATGATGAGGCACACCATTAATAACAGCACACAGGAGACTGAGGCAAGAGGGATCTAGAATAATAGGCCAGCCTCCTCTACAGACTGTCTTAAAAAGAAATTATTTGGTTCAGTTTGTGACCTATGAGATGTCTTTGGAGCTGCTGATTTAAATTTGGAGAATCCGGAAATTAGAGTTGCAGGGGTAAGAAAACAGCTGCCTTCTCCATATCCCTTGAGGACATGAGAAGGGAAGAAAAGTGGCGGTGGGTATAGTCTTGTTTGGTTGGTTCACGGGGAAGGGCTATTCAGCGGGTGGTGGTGCTTCGTTCGGGAGCCTCTGGAGGATTTCCTGATTGGCCTC